ACATGACTTCTTGTAGGTGTCAAATGGTTCACAGCCAGCATCACAGCCCAAACCCTAAGGGTATTCCCTTCTTCTAAGGAAGGTGTTAAGGGGAGTGACTGTGAAAGATGAGGCAATGACATTGTAAAGGAAAATAATATTTCCTTCTTCTTTTCTAGGTTCTTTAGTTGGCCTAAAAATTAAACTGATACAATATAGGTTTGTGGGGAGAGGTCTCGATTTGACAATGTCCCGAGGAGACAGTCTCTCACAAGGTGGGCTGTCTCACTAAACACGCTCTATCCCACTATAGTTCAAGTGACTGATTTAGCTCGCTAAATGCCAAATAAGCAGGAAAATTGTGCTGCAGCAGCTTAGCTTGTGAGAATAAGGAAGTAGTCTAGCTGAGCTCAGATCATGATAGCAGGTCTCAGCCGCCGACTGAGACAAAGGATTGGAAAAAAGGAAGTTGGCCGAGACTGTTAGAGGGGAGGCTTGCGCTGATCGAATCGAAAGTTGCTTAAGATCTGCTAAATGCATATGTAACCAGTGAATGTATAAAAAGACTGTGTGAAATAAACTTGGGGCTGCATTCTTGAGCTGGCAGTCCTCCCGATCCCATCTTTGTGTCTGTCTATTTTCTCAATCCTCACCCCCATTTCAGGTACTGTTCCACTGTAGTGCCGGCAGGTGGCGCCCGAACAGGGACCTGAAACAGAGGACTAGGTGAAGGACACTGCCGAAGCAGGGGACGTGTCCGGATCAAGGTAAGCAGGGGCAGTGAGCATTAGAGTTGGGAGAGAATAGTCATGGGGCAAGGCAATAGCCGAGTGTTGTTTATGCAAGTGCTTAAAAATATGCTTCGCGCTAGGGGCACTAGGGTTGGCCAGAAAGAAGCTTGAGCGCTTTTTAGACTTTGTAGAAGAAGTTTGTCCATGGTTTCCAGAGGAAGAAACTGTAAATTTAGAGACCTGGGCCAAGGTAGGAGAAAGATTACAGGATTATTATTCTGTGTATGGGCCAAAGAAGGTTCCGGTAGACACATTTTCTTTGTGGAATTTAATTAGAGATTGTATTGATCCCAGACATGCAGGAAATAGGTGGGAACCTGAGCCCAAGTTGAGACAACGGAGCCCTTCTTGTCCTAGTCTCGGAGGGCAGAAAAAGGGAGAGCCTGTAATGGCACCCTGCGCTCCACGGCTGCTGGAGCCTGAGAAAAAAACTAGACTTACCACCCCCACCATCCCCTCCTCCAGCGGAGAATCCTTATGTTAAAAGGCCGGAAAACGATCCACTTATAGCATTCCAGCAAGAAGATCATGATTATGATGACCCTTTTGACTTGCCTAAAGAAGATCAGGAGGCCTTAGAGGAGGCTGCTGCTCATTATCATCATGATGATGAGTGGTTAGTGCTCTCGACCAGAGGCTCTTTAAAAGAGGAACAAGGTTCCGGGGATAGGGATAGAAAGTTAGAGGAAGAAATGAGAAAGTTGCAAGAGGCCATAGCAGCCTTAACTGGCAAGGTTGAGCAGCAAACTGTGTCTAGAAAAGTCATAACACCTGTACCCTCGCGGGCGTCCTCTCGAGCGACCCTGCATGGGACAGCTACCCCACCACCTGCAAAAACGCCAGTCATAGATGTAGTACAAGAAACACCGGAACCGAGAGCTTTGACTATACCTTCTTTGCCTAATCAGGACCCTCCGTGGGGACCTACAAACCTCCGGGTAGATAGCAGGCCGCAGGAGGCTGCCAGATCTCCCCTTCAACTTACCCTGCAAAAAAAGCAGTGGAAAGAGGGGAAGATACAGGGGGGTTTCAATTATACCCCATAATGGAGAGAGATGATGGACAGGGAGGAAGGCAAAGATACCATCAGCCTCTTCACTTTAAGCAGTTGAAGGAATTAAAAACAGCATGTGCCCAATATGGCCCTACAGCTCCTTTTACTGGGGTTCTCTTAGAAAGCCTAGCCACGAAGCATTGCCTCCTAATGATTGGAAGCAGTTGGCTAGGGCATGCTTGAGTGGAGGAGATTATCTTCTATGGAAGTCAGAATTTGCAGAGCAATGTCAGGTCACCGCAGAACTAAACAGGACTCAACAAATACCCATTGTGTTGGACATGTTAGCAGGAGAAGGCATTTACCGAGAAACTGATCAGCAAATTCACTTTGCTGCAGGTGTCTATGCCCAAACTAATACAGCAGCCTTAAGGGCATGGAAGAAATTGCCACCTCGTGGTAGGCAGACAGAGGACTTGTCCAAAATCCGTCAGGGGCCTGATGAGCCTTTTCAGGACTTTGTATCCAGGTTGTTACAAGCAGCAGGAAGACTTATAGGAGACGGAGAGTCAGGCATGTTACTGGTGAAACAGCTTGCCTTTGAAAATGCTAACTCAGCATGTCAGGCGGCTATACGCCCCTTCAGAAAGAAAAGCAGTTTATCTGATTATGTAAGGCTTTGTTCAGATATCGGGCCCTCCTATGCCCAAGGACTCGCTATTGCTGCTGCTTTACAAGGAAAAACTGTCAAGGAAGTTTTGTTCCAGCAGCAAAAGTCTAAGGGTCAACTAACAGCCGGTCCACCTGGTAGCTGTTATGGATGTGGACAGCTGGGTCATCAAGTCAGACAATGCCCTAAGAAACAGGATGGGAGCAAGCAGCCTGGGACCTGACCTAGACGCAAGAGAGGCAAACATTGGGCAAATGAATGCCGCTCCAAAAAAGACAGTCAAGGAAATCCTTTGCTCCGGATGCAGGGAAAGGGGAAGAGGGGCCAGCCCCGGGCCCCTCAACAGTGTTACGGGGCACCGCAGAGCGAACCCAGCCTGCAACAGGGAAATCCATTCAGGAATTATACAGGGCAACCCCAGGAAGCGCAGGACTGGACCTCTGTGCCTCCACCTACACAGTATTAACTCCAGAAATGGGAATGCAGGCCTTACCTACAGGGGTATATGGGCCGCTTCCGAAAGGCACTATGGGTTTAATTTTAGGTAGGAGCAGCATTGCCATGAAGGAATTGCATGTGGCCCCTGGAGTTATTGATGAGGACTACACAGGAGAAATAAGGATTATGACACATTCCCCTACAACAATTTCTGTAATAAAGTCAGGGCAAAGAATAGCGCAGCTCTTGCTCATTCCCTATCCTAAGGCAGGTAGAACAGCAACAAGTGCCTCCCGAGGGAGGGGAGGATTTGGATCATCAGATGTTTACTGGGTACAGGCCATCAAGGCACAACGACCTGAACTCGTAC